TATCTATATTATACTACTTGTACTAAATTTACATCTAAAATTACTAATTCAAGTCCAACAAAATAAGATTTTCTACAAATAGTACAATTGTCTTTATATGAACTAAACTTCATCTCTTATTGAATAGTTACTATCCTTTTTGGGTGTATGTATGTGTTCATTAATAGAAGTTAGTGGTAATTCCTTTCATTTATCCCCAAAGTCGACTACATAGTGCTTTTTAAAGGTTAAAATCCTAGTGGAGTTAAAAAAAAAGCTACATGTAATTTATTTTTATGTACTCAAGGTTGGTAGGTAGTATTATTAGATACTTTGTTGATACATTGTCGATGTTAGTGCAATCCTGCAAGGTGACTTGGACACTGATGATCGGAGAACACTCTAGAAAGTTCTGTCATATCTTCCAACAGCACAGACATTCAGATTTCTCCAAAGGATAATATTATGTGAGGCATTGCTTCTGTTCTAAGCTATAGTATTATCCCTTCCTATTAAAGAATGAGAGAATAATCGGACCAATAAGTGTCCAACAACTGTATGTAGGATAAGGCAACACTCTAGATCCTCCATACTTGCAGAATGAATGGATTAAATATGGACTTAATTTTTTGTTTTCACGCAGGGGGTTAAAGGTTGAAAGCTATATGAGAAGGTTACCCTAATAGTAATGAAGAATGGGGAAGTATTGCCATCTATGTCGATCAATTTGTCTAGGCGTCACAAATCCATCTTGGCTCAAAGAATTTATCTTACTATTGAGCCCATCATTTTGTCAACAAATATTATCTTTGTTAATTTTTCATTCGTTTTCTTCCAAGCCGCCTCTCTTTGCAATTCTTCCGCCTTTCAAACAAGTGATTGCGATTGGCTTGTATTTTATTTAGTAAAAACATCATTGACCTACCACACTAGAGACTAAGCATGCAATGACTTGTTAGAACATTCTGGTTTGCTATATCCTTAAGTGGTTTGATCATTCCTCTCATCTTCATTTTTCATCGTTGCAAGATTTAATAGAGTATTCATATGTGGTTTTTCTATTGAAGGATATTAGATGTTCATTACTTGTTTAAAAAATTGTCTTAGCTAGAATAGTTATATTTTGTTTACATTGTTAAGTAAAAGTTGAAATTAGAAAAGCAAGAAATTGTTTGATTCCTTTAGTATTTGATTATTCATAAACAATTGTTTGGATATCCCTAATGTGGCATATACTGATTAGGGAGATCAAATTTCGGAGTAACTGAAAATAGGAAAAACAAGAAATTGTTCGATTGCATTAGTGTTTGACAATATTCATCAACACTTGCTCGGATATACCTAATGTGGAATCACCTGTTTGGGAGATCAAATATCAAAATAACTCGAAGCAGGAAAACCAAGAATTTGTTTGATATCCCAAAAGTGCTAGGCAATATTCATCGACATTTATTATTTTTTTAATATATATATTGCTTAAACGATAATCAATCAAACAATGTTAATGAAAGTTATTTCCACCCATAATTATTGTCTAATGCAGGTGGATATAATCTTCATACTATTTGCATTTTGTATATGGACATGTTACTTGTTGCATATAGAAAATCCTCCAAACAATAAAAAATGACAAAAAGATTGGTAACACGATCCACGTGTATGGTTAATTATGACGGTCTCATCAGTAGAATTGAATGGAATATTTCAAAATCAACCTTAGTGTTTTCTTTAACCTTACTTTGAAACTAAATATTTTTCATGTTTCATGCCCATGATTATTCTTTTTCTTTGTTTTTACTTATTGCTGTTGGATTGAAAATTTGAAATCATGTCCACCCTGGAACAAACACTATGCCTAGAAACTCTAGATCATTGGCACCTGGTACAGTTATCTGTAACAAGTATGCGCACTGTATTGCTTAGTTTCTTTCTTTAATATCCTATTTAATAAATATAATGATGAACTATATTCCATTGTGCTCCGGAGTATTTGATTGATGCAGAGATTGGAGTATACTCCTCCAGGAAATATTATTTTGGCCTTAGTCGCAGATGGTAATCGTAATGTTTAAAGAGTGATTCTAATTTGACGGTCCATGTAAAAGAATTCTAAGAAAAGGGCTTATATATTTCTTGTGGGACACGTCTATTCGCTATAACAAAATAGCTTGTAAGTTACGTTTGGCGGCTGACCAACATGTATATATTGTAACTATGCCTATCACAGAGTGGGGTGTTGTTGACGAACAGTCTGCCGCGCAATTCTGTATGACCATTTTCACCTTGGGTAGCTTTAACAAAGTGGAGTGTTGTTGACCAACTTATTGTTAAAATTTTTCTTCCTATGTATTATTGTCGAAGTTAAAGTATATGAAGAATGACTTTTCTCCTGAGGTTAATATATTTGCCCCCATGAAATGATAGGTGCTTAGATGGTGTTCTTGCTTCTCACCAAGGCTAATGAGTACATCTCTTATGCGTTACTGTATGGTTAGGTGACTATTTGGAGTAGAAATATGCTCAACAACGGCTAAAAGTTTTACATTTTGGTTTATATGCTTCTGTAGCAGGAGTAGAGGATTGGAGGAAGATTCTAACGCAAGATGTACGCTCATGCAAATAGTTATGCAGAAATATAATCTAATTTAACCTTTCAGGCTCTTGAGTCAAAATGATGATTTGGTTGCAATCAGAAAGAGCAGCATAAAATTCCCATGTGCATGTTTTTAAAAATATCTAGAGAAGTAACTATTTCTCTAATGTATGAAAAACTATCCTTATCTTTGTATAGTTCATGTGCCTTTGTGTTCTATATTTTCTTTGTAATAGTCAGTCTTTAAATAATTAGATCAATCAATGTTGATATTTCTAGACTCCCTACACCAACAAGCACAATTTTTTTTGTCTATCTTTTCATTTGTCCTAATGTTGATGGGCAAAATTATTTTGAAGTTGTCAATCAGAGGTGACAGATATGAAATTAGTACCTAACAATTATCCCCTGAAAATTATATTTGATGCACTTTCATGGTAGTGTGTAAGAAACGAAACTTGTTTTTATCAGATATATTAATTTCATCAAACATTATTTTGATACCGAGTTTGGGGTAATTATCTCATAATAAACCATACATGTTTATAATTCTTCCGTTAAATTTATACCCGCGTATCAAGTAATTTTTCATCTACACCTATAAGCATGTCCATGATTTGGATAAAGATCGATCCAAATTGAAACCAAACTAACTTATTAAACCGATTTTTATTTGGGTTAGGTGTGGTTTGATTTTAGATTTTTAAGAACTGATAGTACATGATTTGGTTATGATTTTATTCGGAATAATTGAATAAATAACCAAATCGAACCGATAAAATATATACATATATTTTATTAAAATACCACTACAAAAAACACTTAAAATCTGGGGTTTAAAATTATATATTTCGGAGGTTAGTAACCCCCGCAACTTAGTTTTAAGGCAGTTGCAGAAACTCCTACAATTAGGTGTGCCACAACTATGTCGCAAGGGTTTTTCTCCAACCCTTGGTACCAGTAGCGGGGGTTTACTAACGGGGGTTTTGAACCCACAAATTGATAACTGCACAAATTCTAGGATTTAGAACCCCAACAATTTATATACTCTGGGAGTCAAAAACCCCATGATTCATGAATTATACATTAAAACTAACAAGAGTTTTAACCCCTGCTATTTATGAAATATATCTTTTTCTAAAATTTTGCTGGAAATTAAATATTTAAATTTAAATAATAATAACTAATTAATTAACATAGACAAATCTAAAAGGGCATATTAGTAAATGAAATAACACAATAATTCATCACAAAAGCATGTCATAAAGTGTACTATTAGTTCTACAAACTTAATTGGAACATGTTATTCACTTCAACCATATTATTACAAGAAACTTTCAATCACTACAAAAACTTGCTTGAACTTCAAATCACTACAAAAAATTGCTTAGACTTTAGATCACTAGAATCCAAACTCAAGAAAGGATCTACAACTGTTCATGAAACTTCAGCGGGGTTCACTACGATTACTATCACTAACATCACCTGGCTGCAAAGAAAAATACACATGTATGTGACTTCATCCAAACTTAGGACTTTTACTCCGATAAAATATGAAATAATGCAAGCTAACACTAAGAGTGTGAACAACAATACTAAATTCACTACTATGAAAGTAAATACCAATGCCACTCATTAACAAATAGGAGATGTAATCATGCAATTTGCTTAGAGATATGAATTGTCTTTGCAGAAAGCACCAACAAGAAGGAGCAGACATAAGCGTAGCTATATAATTGCAGAAAACACCAACAAGAAGGAGCAAAAAGTCCAAAGGGTTACACACATCCTATGATTTACCTGATGTTACTCGACAGGCTAACGAAAAGAAGTCAACAACAAGAACAATGCAAAGTAAATACAAACTTGTCGTTTAGACGCCAGAAGAAAACTCTTCATGGACTATAAATTAGGTTATTGTGTATTTCCATAAGAGTACATAATGTTGCACAAGAAGCTCAAAATGAAAAGCATCTCCATTTACAAATATTGGACAGTAAAGCAAAATTACTCACATTATGCACTAACAGTGGCCATGCATATGTAGAATTTTTTTTTTCAATTAGCATTTGATGCACTAGCATTTGTTTTTCAATTAGCATTTGATGTAAACTAAATGAACATATCTGATATATAAATAAGGTCATTGAAGAAGACAGAATGTAAACATTATATTTACCATTGTAGTAGTAAGAGAAAATAACCCCACAAATTGTTCTGGTAATGCCCCTTCATTCATTATCATATATGACTTGAAAGCAGCCATCATTTGAATGTGAGAATTCAACAATTTATTGTAGTTCTCCTGGCAATTGGATGGACATGAAACACTCGAAGCATTCATACCGTTTAATCGAGGTCTTGCTTGTTTAAAAACTCTAGTGGGAACAACTCTTAATCCCAAACACCTTACCCCTCCAGAGTGCTCTTTTCCTAGAATTTTTCCAACTGCATCATCTGGCGATATTATAGACTCATCCACAGTGCTTTGACTCAGAGTTTGCTAAATTTTTTCCTGAGTATAGTACACACACAGAACACTTTATCAAAATTTTAAAAAGTAATTGAGAACAAAGATGTATTACCTAAATATAATCAAAGTGCATTCACATATTCCTATGTTAGGAATTCCTTTACTCCTGAGTTTAGCATTCATAAAATAAGCAAAGTACATGCATATATTCAATCCAAGTGAGAGATAATTAGTGAGACATAATTTTAAATCATTTACTCAAGCAAGGATTTTAAATCACTTCAAAATGACAGCACACTATACTAAACAAGGCACCATCAAACTGATTTGAACAATAGCAATGAGGAAAATATTAACAGAGAATCTCAGGTTTAAAATTAGTAAGAGACTAAACATAAACTGCTTGACTTAACTTGTTAATAGAATAGGGACAGACTTGACACAACCAAGGAACTGGAGTGCTATTATTTCCCCCATTAACTAACTTACACAGATAACCTTTGCCTCTTCATTTACATATGCTCCATCTACATTCTTATGAGTAGCAAGATAAAGCTCTGCTCGTCCAGGCATTTGACCGGTCTCAACCATCTATAAGCAAAATAATCAACTTAGAATAACATGACTAATTAAAAATAATTACAAAATAAGTAATCTTAATAACTAAATAAAATGAAAAGAACTAAAATCTTTAACCATTTCAGCCCTTCTTCTAGAGTTAGCTTTGGATCCACCTGTGTGTGGAATGATTTGTTTCTTTCGACTTTCAGCATTTCTGTTGCACATTTCCTAACAAAAAAGATACACGAAATTCAATCATTAGAAAGTAATTATATGACTACACATACTACTTAAAACAATTAAATATATATACCTGTGTTTCTTTTTTATAACGATAATTAACATAAGAAGTCCACTAATCTCTTGGTATTCAAGGTGGAACATTATCCATAATCTGAGTTTTGCTTTTAAGTGGATCACTGAACACTTTCCATATGTCCAACCTATTTGCACTCCACTTCTTTGAAATACAGTTATAAACATATCGTCAAGCAGCTAAGTTGGTTATCGCAAAAAAAATCGAGGCTTCAATAATAAAAACTAGTTAGCTTACCTATTAAATTTAAATATAAAGATTCGAGAAAAGAATATAAGTAAAGTATTCAGAATATAGAGTTTATACCACTACGATTTGATCAAAGACGCTATCGAAGTATGACATAGGCATATTTGGCCATTTGTCGAAGTGCATTGGAAATAAGGACGAATCAGCAGCTAAAATTCCACAAAAACCAGAAAGAAAGGGTTGTGCTTCTCCAAATGGATAATCCAGGTAGTCAAAATTGACCACATACGATCTTCTCCAGATAAATTTAGCACTTCTTTGACTTTCACTTTGAGTTTTTTTTTGTTTCCTTCTGAATCTGGAATAGTGAAAATGATATAAAATGAAAACATGTTTAATTTTCCAACCAATCATGTTCTAGAGTGGGTTGTAGTACTTGTTTATGTTTTTAATTGTTTCCCTCTATTGTTCCACAGTAGGTTGTTGCCTTTTAATATTCTTTATTATGTGATGTATTATGTTTTTAATTGTTTCCCTTCAAATGCAGCAATAATGACTTTTGATCATCAAGACATTGAGGGAAAACCAAGAAACTTGTATTTTTTTTCACTTTGTGATTAAAATGAAGGGAGTAGGTAGAAAAGAAGATGAAAAGTGAGGGGAAAAATAGGACAAGCCCCTCTAACAAGAAGAAGAAAAACAAGACAAATGGAGAAGAAGAAAAAAAGATGAAAAAGAAAGCAGAAGTGTAAAGTTTATCTATTGCTTCTACGGTCCAATACTCCGTAGACTAACGTCAAACAACAAGCTTCTTAAATGATTTCGGTTGTGGTTCGGCTTGACTTGATGAAGTCGAATGTGATACATCCTGATTTGAGGAAATAGACTGTGATGCAGCCTGAGTTGACTGAACCGGCTGTGATGTAGCCTGAACTGAGGAAGTCATCTGTTTTTTCGCCTGAACTGATGAAATTGATTGTGATGTGGTTGGTTGTGCGTTGGGCTGAACTGACAATGTAGGTTGTGTTTGAACTGAGTTTTGCAAGTTCTGCCAGCGCTTGGTCTTTGCCATTTCTACAATAAATCAAAGATAACATAAATCAAAAATTCTTAAAAAAATACTGTTATTGCGATACTTGTAAAGATTACTGGTTCATCCAGTTATAAGACTGTAGATTTTCATAAGAAATTTGTATCCAGATCCACACACACATGAAAAGTTCAAATCTTAATAAAAGAGTGATGTGATTAGAATATACAAATAGTTTTTCCTTTACACCAAAACTAAAAAGCATGCTATGTGTTCATACATATGCTCCTCTGTTGAGATTTGGACATTTCCATAATCAACATCGAAAAAAATTTCAAATTCTTGCTGTTTGTAGGGCTCATTCTCAAATATCTCTTCTTCATCAACTTGTCCCATGTCAAACACATCTCTTGGTTGTAAATGAATAGCTGCACTCCATTCTTTATCTATTTCATCATCATCATAGAAAACCATATTTGCTTGTGATGCTCAACATAAGGATCATCATCCTCGCGATCACCGGTGTGAATCAATTTAGAAAAATTGACGCAATTAAAGTTCCAAACATCTCTTTTAAACCCTCTATCTCAAGTAGTGTCAGCCCACTTGCATTTGAAAAGCACAACCCAGAACTTACCATAATAGTTAAGCTCAATAATATCTTCCAACTTCCCATAATATGGCAAATTTGCTTGTCTTGCATTTATATCAGCACTACATGCACCGCAAGAAGTGTTAGACATAAGAAAAACTCCACTATTTAGAGTTTTCAATCCTTGTTCTCTTGACAAAGTTCGAAATTTGAACCCATTAATGTTATAAGCAGTGAATCTTCTTGCATATGGCGCTGGACCTTGTGCTAAAAACTTTATGTCATGAGAGATTGTGTCTTCTATATCTGGATTCATTATCTAAATAAGAAAAATGGTTTCGTCATATATTTTAAATTGAATTAGAAATCCTATTCAAAACTATCATCTAATTTCAATCACTCACCCGCTTAGGAAACCAATCAGTAAACTCTATATTAATTCTGTTTTCTACCTCTGTTATCGAAGGTTTTCTGCCTCTTGAACTCCTTTTAATGTGTTGCCTAAATTCACTACAAATAAAATCAATGAACAACCATTTTACTAATTTTTTTAATAGATCAAGCTTATTTAAATTACTTACTCAATAAATGGCTTTGCTGAAGCGCAATTATGTAATACATATCGATGAGCTTGAGTTTTCTCCAAATGAGTCAAAGCAAATGTTATGAAGCCTCCGACAACTTTACCTTGTCGAGGGAACATAGATGACCTTTCAGGAACCTCATCATGATTTGTTTCATCATTTACTCGTTTAGGCCTATTTACCCTCGATTTGATATCCTCAAAATAACGAGAATAAAGAGTTAGAGCTTCTTCAATTTTTTGACCTTCAGCTATACATCCTTTTGCCTGTGATTTGTTCCCTATAAGTGACTTGAAATGACCTAACAATCTACCATTAATATTACATAGTATTAGAACAAGCATTTACTTTGGGACAAAAGTTTTTAAAAATAAGATATTTTACCTTTCAACAAAATACATCCATCGATAATGTACTGGACCACCTTGTATTACTTCATCCACTAAATGGACAGTTAAATGAACCATTACAATAAAAAAGGATGGAAGGAACAACATCTCTAGGTGGGAAAGAGTGATAACAATCCGTTTTTTTACTTTTTCAAGGTCCATGAGGCTCAAGTTTTTCAGACAAATATTTCTAAAAACGGAATAGAACTCTACCAAAATTGCTACAACTTGATTTGGAAAAACATTGCGAATTGCTATCGGGAGTAATTGTTCCATAATGATGTGACAATCATGACTTTTTAATCCAAAGATCCTCTTTGATTCTAGAGGTATACAACGAGATATATTACTTGAATAACCATCGGGCATTAAGATATTCTTTAAAGTTGTGAGGAAGGTCACTTTCTTATCGTTTGGAATTGTAAATGCACCAAGCCAAAAATCACCATTCTCATATGCCCAAAGGTCTTCCGTTATAACCATATCTTGTAGATCTTTTCGAGCTTCAATGTGATCCTTTGACTTTTCTCTATCATTAAACAGAGTGTGAATAATATTGTCAAAAACATTTTTTTCAATATGCATAACATTTAAATTATGGCGCAACAAGTTGGATTCCCAATAAGGAAGATTGAAGAATATGCTTTTTTTCTTCCACTGTTTAGTTGAACCTTCACCCACACTGCTTTGTCTATTTTTTTTTCTTTTTCTTTTTATTTTATCATTCAACTTTTCTTGTCTTCCAAATGTAACATTAATATTTGACACTTGTTGCAAAATATCAGATCCAGATAACTTTTTGGGGTGGTTTCTTTCTTCTACACTTCCATCAAAATGATTCCTCATTAATATGAATTTATGATTTCTTGCCAAAAATCGACGATGACCAACAAAGCACCACTTTCTACTATGAGTAAGTCGACAAGGTTTCATGTCAAAATTACAAGATGGACATGCAAAACCAGTATATGTGTTCCAACCAGATAAGATATCGAGTCCCGGAAAATAACTTATTGTCCACATAAGAGCTGCCCACATTCTAAACATTTCATTCATTGATGAATCAAAAGTCTGTACACCTTCACTCCACAACTCATTCAACTCCTTAATAAGTGGTTGTAAGTATACATATATGTTATTTCCCACCATTCGTGGACCTGGAATGATCATTAATAGAATAGAATTTGGTTGTTTCATGCACAACCAAGGTGGAAGGTTATATGGAACCAAAATTACAGGCCAAATGCTATTATTAATACTCATCGCTCCAAAGGGATTGAAACCAGCACTAGCTAACCCTAATTGAACATTTCGAGATTCAAAAGCAAATTCAGGATAAGTTGGATCAAATCTCTTCCATGCCTCAACATCTCTAGGATGCCTTAAGATTCCTTCTTTGTTATCACCTTCCGTATGCCACCTCATATGTTCTGCCATCTTAGAGCACATGAACAGTCTTTGTAGTCTTGGTTTTAATGGAAAGTAACGCAAAATTTTTGCAGGTCTCTTTTTTTTCTTCTTACCCCTAGCAACCACTTTAATGTTTGTATTCTTCTCATCAAGCTTCCATCTCTAAGTATGACAATGCTTGCATGTTTCCTCATTAACATCATCTCCCCAATACAACATGCAATCATTTGAACAAGCATCAATCTTAACATAATCAAGACATAACTTGTTGATAGTTTTCTTAGCCTCATAAACAGAATCAGGGATCTTTGCAAATTCAAAGGCATCCCTGAGTAGATCCAATATCATAGTCATTCCTTTTTCACTTAGACTAGACAAACACTTTATGTGATATAACTTTAACAAAAACTCTAATTTTGAGTACTTAGACCCTTCATACAATTCTTCCCTTCCACCTTTGAGCAACTCAAAAAAGTCTTTGTCATATGATGTGGGTATATCCTTTAATATCTCTTCTTCTGCCACTATTTGTGATGGACCTACATCAAATCTCTCTTGCCTAAAGCCATGAAATGCTTCGTTAATCAATAATTCTATAGGGTTTTTTTAGAGGCAGTGCATCCTGAGTAAACTCTCTGCTTTTAGAATTTTGTAACACACTTGTTTCCCCATGCATATCCCAAATGACATAATTTTTAGTAAATGGCTTGCAAATCAAATGATGAAATACTACCTCTCTAGTCTGCCATTTTCCAAAACAACATTGAGGACACGGGCATTTTATTCTATCTTCTATAGCTCCATTTTTAAAAACAAATTCCAAAAACTAATTCAAACCAACCAGATATTCCTTTGTAGTCCTTGGCATTCTAATCCAAGATTTATCCATCAAAAAAACAAAATTAGCAGACAATATCACCTATAAGATTTTCATGAGAAAATAATAAGGTTAGAGTGATATTTTAATAATTTTATGTACCACCTATTGCAGAAATGGAGTATATGCAGAAATGGTCATAATGTTTTCTTTTTGCATGTCAAAATTGTAACATAATGAACACAGGAAGTGGATGTGGATTTACAAAACAACAATCTGAGTGAAAATGTCTATTTTTTCTCTATTTAGTAATACTGTAGTAAATGCACCTAAATTATTTACAGGCTTGTACTCGATATTCAATCACTTTGTGTATGTACTAACTTATTCGGCAGAAACTCATTGATTTATTTTGTAAGTAAAATAAAATAGATAGCTGAGATTGAGAAAGATCAGCATCAGCATCAACAAATGAACTTGATACCAGGAAGTTCATCAAGCTATCATCAAAGAGTACCAACATATATCAAAAGGGGGTCAGAGTACCTCAACTTTTTTTATCCTTAAACAAACAAGATCTAGAAGCTCTCCAGTTCCACCTGCAGTTCAGGATAAAGCAAATATTGAAAGGGAGGTCAGACCTGATAAATAAAACAAAAGAAATATTTTCTATAAGATTATGCAAAAGGAATATCTAAACAACAGTCATTATATCACAACATTTGCTTATATAGAACGACTAACTCAAAGTTATGAATCTATCTATGAAAACTCAAGTTATGAACTAGACAGATCACTAGAAATCATGTCAATCAAGTCAGTATACATAAAAAAATGGTAAAATATGTTCCTGAATCCTCTAACCCTCTAGTTTAATCAGTTAGTTCCTCTGTCTCGGATATGACCATGGTTAGTGAAACAAAGTAATTTGTCATTCCATAGTACGTATTTAGGAGTCTTATCCAAATTGTTGTCATATCATAGTAAGTATTTAGGAGTCTTATCCAAATTGTATTCTTTATCAGCTTTAATGCAAAGAGCAACATCAAACCAGATTGAACATTCAGAATGTCATGTATATTAAACAAGATTCTAAATCCTAAATGTTGAATTTGTCTTAAATTGATAAACTAGAATGAACATAAACAGACGAAAGACTGGTTAATGAGAACATAATTTCTTGACTAGAAATGGAAGATTCCAGGGCCTATAGCTCAGTCTAAGCAGCTTGAGAACGTTGATGCAAACAGAGTTAATATTGATACAACAGCACCAATCCAATATGTGAAACAGGCAGTTTCAAAGTTTGGAGGGATTGTTGACTGGAAGGCTCATCGACAACAGACAGTCGAGGTATTATCTCCAACGCCTCTCGAAGCTTGGCCTTACAGGCTCTTTCATGTTATTTTCTTGACTTGGAATGTTCATTTTTTTTCTTCTTTGGTTGTGCAGAGACGGAATCTTATCGAGCAAGAACTAACAAAAGTGCAAGAGGAGATCCCATTGTATAAGAAACAATGTCAGGATGTAGAAGATGCAAAAGTGCTAGTTTTGAAAGTATCTGACTTATCTAAAACAATAAAATTTGATCATATGTTTTAAAAATAAGGTAAAGTTGCTCGATATTAGACTGTACAAGAGCAAACAGGACCTTAAATATGTTACTTCGTATGTAATTTTTATCACCGTTGATTATATCAACCCACTATTCGAATCTTTAGTCCTTCCAAAGTATTACATCATGATGATATATGCCTTTCACAAAAATGTCATGTCTTTATGTAAAATGTACAAACTATGTGATGGACCATTTCTATGAAAGAAAAGAAAAAAAAGCAAGTTACCAAACTATTTATAGCCATTTTTTCATATAAAGTTGTCAACACTTTCATTTTGGTTTAGATAATAGTAAAAAATAAGAACAGAACCAAATTACTTTCTAAACTCGTAGAGTCCAAACAAAAATGCTCAAAGCAATGTTAGTTTCATTTTACAGTGACATCCTTCTGTATTGGGTTAATCTACTGTCCAACTTTCTTGAGTCACTTTTTGAATGTTCCTTATACATGAAGTTATCAATGATATAATTTATCATTATTGTGGTTTATTTTGGAAATTTTTGTGTTGAGAGTGTGCAATAAGGTCACCTATAACATTGTTCTCCCACTTGAGGTTTCTTAGCCTCAGACAGACCCAAAAGGGGAGAAGACACACATTGTTCGGTGCGTGAAAGACAAGGAACGGGGAGAGGGGGAAGGGAGAAGTAGGGCTTGAAGAACAAGCTGAGCTGTGATTCTGGCAATGTAGTTGGACTCTCATGTCGATCCGAATGAATCATCCTTTCCTAATTAACTAATAAAAATGTGCTCTCTCTACTAGCTTGCACTTTTAAAATCTGTTAACTCCGAATTAGATGTTCTTCGTAAGGATTATGATTTATTGGTAACCGAAAAAGATGTTGCTGTGGAAAAAGAAGAAGAAGTTGTTTCGGTATCAAATAAAGTTGAGAAGACAGTTGAGGATTTGACAATTGAGCCCATTACTTCAAAGGATGCTTTGGAGGCTTCACATGTTGCACATCTAGTCAAGAAAAGTATATTACAGAATATTCTATCCCCCTTGCATGATCTATGCCACATTAAGAGAACTTCTCTTCATTCTATAACTGCATCAATATGTAACAAATCCTATCTATGAACATTATCCATTGACAATCTTGTGAGAGAAGCAAAAGCTGACTGCTATTCCACCACAATCGAAATGAGTAAGTTCAGCCATTGCTAATCTACCATCAAAAGAATCACTACTATTTCCAAAACACAATCCTTGTGGAAATACACAATTTTTACCACTACTATCATTATCACATGAATTGATAACAGTT